AAGCCACAAAACATACCTCAATACATTTTAAAAAGAACGAAATCATATAAATATGTTCTAAGATCACAATTAGTAACGGAAATATGGGAAATTCACTCACACTTCCAAATTTCAAAACTTACTATAAAGCTACGGTAACCAAGATAGTGTTGGTACTGGCATAGGATAGATATACACATCAATGAAACAGATTTGAAAGTCCAGAAACAAACTCTTACATTTAAAGTCGACTGATTTTCAACAAGGATACCAGGATAATTCAAAGGAGAAAGAATAATCTTCAACAGACGGTGCTGGAACCACTGGATATCCTCATGCAAAAGAAGAGTTGAACCTCTTCCTTATATGATACACAAAAATTAACTCTAAATGGATCATAGAGCTAAGCATGAAGAGGTAACACTATAAAACTCTTAGAAGAAAATCTAGGAGTAAATCTTCATGACCTTGGCCTAGGCAAAGCACTCTCTAATATGATACCAAAAGCACAAGCAACTGGAGTAAAAAAACAGATAAATTCACTAAATTTAAAACTTTACCAAACAACATCAGCAGGAAAGTAAAGACAATCCACAGAATGGAAGAGAATATTTGCAATTCATATATCTGATAAGAGGCTTATATCCAAAATATATAAAGCACTTTTATAACTTGATAATAAAAAGACAAAGAATCTGATTAAAAGGCAAAGGATGAGAGGAGCCTTCTCAACCTGATAAAGACTATGTGGAGAAAACCTACAGATAACACCATACTTTACGGTGAGAAACTCCAAGCTTTCCCACTAAGATCAGGTACAAAGTAAGGATGTTTCCTTCTCACTACTCCTTTTCAACATGGAACTGGAAGTCCTTGCAAATGTAATAAGAAAGAAAATAAAAGGTACACACATCAGGAAGGAAGACGTAAATCGTTGTTCAAAGATGACATGACAATATATGTAGAGTTCTTTAAAAAAATGAATCAACCAAAAACCTCCTGGAACTAACAGGCAATTTGTAGCAAGGCTGCAGGATACAAGGTTAATACACAAAAGTCAACTGCTTTCCTACATACCTACAATGAAAAAGTGGAAGTGAAAATTTAAAAGCACAGTATTCTTTGCATTAGCATCCTCAAAAGTGAAACACTTAGTTATAAAAGTAACAAAAGGGATACAAGATCTACATAAGGAAAACTACAAAACACTGATGAACAAAATCAAAGAGCAACTAAATAAACAGACATTTCATGTTTATGGATAGGAAGACTCAAAACTGTTAAGATGTCACTTCTCAACTTGATCTACAGATTCACTGCAATTTCAATCAAAATCCCAACAAGTTACCTTATGGATACAGATAATCTGATTCTAAGGTTTATATGGAGAAACTACAAAACTGGAATAGCCAACACAATGCTAAAGAATAATGAACTGGGAGGATCAACACTACTGACTTCAAGACTTACTATAAAGATAAAGTAATCAAGAAAATGATATTGGCAAAAGGACAGACAAATAGATCAATGGAACAGATAAGAAAGCCCAGAAATAGACCCTCATTAATATAGTCAACTGACCTTTTGACAAAGAAGCAAAAGCAATACAACAGAGGAAAAACAGGCCATTTAACAAATGGTTCAGGAAAAAAATGGATATCCATCTAAACAATGACTACACCCTTCACAAAAATTAACTCAAAATGGATCACAGACCTAAAATTTAAAACACAGAACTATAAAACTCCTAGAAAATAATACAGAAGAGCAGTTTAGGGGTATAGCTCAGTGGTAGAGCACGTGCTTGGCATGCACAAGGTCCTGGGTTCAAACCCCAGTGCCTTCATCAAGGAGGAAATAAATGAATATATATATATATAGAGAGAGAGAGAGAGAGAGAGGGAGAGAGAAAGAGGAAAACCTAGATAAACTTGGGTACGGTGATGCCTTTTTAGATACAACACCAAAGGCACAATCCATGAAAGAAATAATTGATAAATGGGACTTCACTAAAATTAAAAACTGCTCTGCAAAAGACAGTATCAAGAGAATGAGAAGACAAAGACACAGACTGGGAGAAAATATTTGCAAAAGACATATCTGATAATGCACTATTATAGTGTACAAAGTATATGAAGAACTCTCAAAACTCAACAGTAAGTAACAACCTGATCAAAAATTGGACCAAAGATCTTAACAGACACCTCATCAAAGAAGATACACAGATGTGAAAATAAGCACTTGACTATACCTCAATTATAAAAATAATAAATAAGCACTTGAAAAGATAGTCCACATCATATGTCATCAGTGAAATGCAAATTAAAATAACAAAGATATACCACTACACAGCTATTAGAGTGGCCAAATGCTAGCAAGGACATAGGGCAAGAGGAACTCTCAGGTGTTGCTGGTGGAAATGCAAAATGGTACAGCCACTTTGGAAGACTGGTGGTTTATAAGAAAACAAAACATATTCTTACTATACAATCCAGCAATCGCATTCCTTGGTATTTACCCAAGGAGTTGAAAACTTTATGACCACACAGAAACCTGCACACACAAGTTTATGGCAGCTTTATTCATACCTATCAACACTTAGAAGTAACCAAGATGTACTTTAGTAGGTGAATGGATAAATAAACTGTGATACATTCAGACAATGGATATTGAATATTGAACATTACTGTCAAATAGTATCAAAATTGAATACTAAGTATTATTCAATGCTAAAAAAGTGATCTATCAAGCCATGAAAAAGGACTGACAAAAAATGCAGAGTGACTGCTATTTGGGGTGATAAAATGTTCTAAAACTGATGTAGTAATGATTGCACAACTCTGTGAATATACTAAAAACCATGGAATTGTACACTTTCAGTGGGTGAATTGTATGGTCTGTGCATTTTAGAAAAGCTGTTATTTTCTTTTAAGTGCCCTGACTATATAAATGACAATTAGTGAGAAAGGGAAAAGTGACTGAAGAAATGAAAAATACATGGCTAGACTATCAACAACTGATGTTAATTCATAGCAAGAAAGAGCATTTGTTCAAGAAAGTAAAGCAAGATGAAAAAACATAAGATTTGACATAAGCCAAGAAGGTTCCAAAGGTGCTCTTGCCATTCAAATCCACGCTGCAACCATTTAGATTCATTTCAGTTTCTCAACAGAGGCTGTTGGCAGTTTGCACAGGAAAACTCTTCTCTGTCGCATGCGTTACAGGTTGTTCAGCATCCCTGCATACAATGAGTAAATAACACTTCCAAGGGATTGTTTTGACTCCAAGATGCTTCCATGTATCTCCAAACATTGTCACATTAAAGACCCACCAGGGCTACTGAATCATTCCCTATGAGACTTCATGTAAAGATCAATCAAAGATTGATATCAAAGACTGATCTATTTTGGAATAAAATATACACAACAGAACATATATAATGAGAAGGAGAGGAGATACTTCCATGTTTTCTCTTCTCTACTCCTAAAATACCCCACCTACTCAAGAGTTTCAAAGGACCTACAAACTCCTGCTTGGTGATAGAACTCAAGTTTAAATCCTAAACCAATCAAGATTTTAAAATATTCTTAGTCTGTTTTGCAATTAGGGGAATATCTATAATGTCAAATAAAAAATACTACATAAAATATATGTAATAAAGCTAAACAAATATAAAAATGCCTAAGAATAAAAGACAAGCAGGAAACATAAGACTATAAACAGTAGTTGTGTTACCACAGTCCCAGAGGTTATGGGGATTCTAATGGTCTACACATTTTACCTTTATGATGAAAAAAACATACCTTTCTTAAAATGCCAAGAATTTTCACTTTATATGTATTCTAAATTTCCATGGCAATATTTACTTGATTTCTCTTTCCTATTCCTAAAACATCCCAACCTCTCAAGAAATCATCATGTATTTCTCTTGTCAAGCACCTACCAAGAAATCAATACATTAAACATACAGACTTAAGTAGATAATGTGATCAATAACTGCACTCTGATCATAAAAGTTCAAGAGAGAAAGCTTACAAACAGTTTTCAGTAGTAAGTGTTGATAAGCAATCATTCTGCCATATTACCTGGATTTGTGATGGCAATGTTTACCAAAAGACAATCTTCCTCAGTTAGGGGACTCTGAGTCTTATAACCGAACAGCAGTTTTAACTATTTAAATATTCATCTATTTAACTATTTAAATATTCATCTCTAAAAGGCATTTAATGTTCTTACTATTTGGTGCTTATAAGGACAAGAGTTTGAAATAGTTAACAATCTGAAAAAATGAAACCAACCCCAAATACTAACTTATTATTTACCTTCCTTTAAGCATCACATATATATACTGTATACTTCCATCATACAAAAGGAGAATAAATTTGTATTTGTTATCAATAATATCTTAATTTCACTTAATTTCATGTAAGATTCCACATCAACTTTTTTTTTTATACCAGATAACGACCTACTAGATCTACTATTTCTAAAGATGCAAAAATAAGTTGAGTAATCTGCAGTGCCACCTGATGGTTAAGAAGTAAGTAGGACATCCCAAATAGTAGGTTCCAAGTATCCTTTTCCCTCAAGAAAAATGGGCGAGGGACGTGGGGGCTGCAAGGGGCAACCCTGGAATTCTCAATGACCACTTGACTAGGATAACCATCTGCAAGGTGGCAGGACAATCCTACAGCAAGGGTTTTCAGGGTTCAAGAAGTTACGGGAAAGAATACTGAGAAAAGATTCCTGGAGGAAAGAAATGAATGAGAGCCTAAAGATTAATGTAATACATGATGGTACTGAAAACATGAAAAAGAAAACTTCGCATTGAGGCAAAATATGACAACCGAAGAACTACCTTACAGCACTATCTCTACTTTTATAATTAAATACTGCATAGTTTAAAATACTCTTTATCAAACAAAAACATAAGATGAACACATGAGTGTGTTCTGAGCTTTATACAACATAGATGACTGAATTTTTTAAAAAGTAATATTCATAAGCAATGTTTTAGAGTAAAGAAGATTGAGAAACTGTGGAACAAGAAAAGGCAGAATGATAAAAAGAGAGGGATGAAATCACCTAGTGAGAAAATGTGTAGCCCACATTTAAAAGAACAAATATTCAGAAAAAGCCAGATACAAGCCACTGAGAAAGCGACACTAACAACTTTAAAGCTCCAGTTTTCCTCCTGGAAAAATAGGTACTGGGCAAATAAAAATTTGAATGGTGCAATGTATGAGCAATATAGTATTTACCATGTATTACTGGAACATTTCCTACAGAGGGATGAGAGGAAGATGTCATTCTTTGAAAGATAGCTAAATTCCTGCAAGTCAATCATGATCTATAGCCCAAATCTACAAAAAGAAGAACAGGAGGCAGAAAACATGTTCCTGGGGAATTATGAATAGGAAATATTACAAAATTGCTAAACTGCCTGGAGTCAAAAGCAAACTAGAGAAAGTAAATGTGTCAAAGACAAGAAAGAAATGAAATTCTGTGGAGACCAGAGGAAGAGTCCAAACATAATCAAAACAGAAAAGTTCTATCAGAAAACTTAAAGGGATACATTATTACTTTGAGAAAACAAAATCTTAAAACAAAGCAGCCTGCCAAAATAAATAAACCTGAATCTGACCAAGTTTCTAAACAGCTCTCCCAGTGTAGTTAGAGGGGAAGCAGGCAGAGGTTAAGATGAAATAAGACTGACCATGAGCTGGTAATTGTTAAACCTGTGTGGTGAGGAGATAAGGGTCATGATACAATTCTGTCTACTCGGTGTATGTTTTTTAGAATGGCAGCTAATGGACCACAATATAGAAATTACTCAAGTTGCTGCTCACTGCCGACTGCCCACCACCTCTGGGAATCTTCAACTGCACTAGACAGTAAAGGCTCCCTCCTCCGCACAACTGTTCCACACATCACATACTCCTATTATTACATCTATTTCCTTGTTTACTTGAGTCTCTTCTACAAAATCACAAGTTGCTTAAAGGCAGGAACGTGTCTTAGTCATCTCTATATGCCAGTACCTAGTACGGTGTCAGGGATATAGCAAATGCTCAGTAAACGTCTGATGAACTGAACAGAGCAATAATGTGATTATGACTTCTAAGAGTGGAAAGCAGACTTTTAGAAAAGGTGAAAAAGAGGTCAAAGACACAACAATCTTTTTGGAAGTAAAGGAATTTATATCACAGTAAAGAGAGAAATACCTATAAAAGATACTACAGACGTAAACAAGAGGCTGAAGTAACTGAAAAAAAAGAATGAATAAATGAATGAACAGTTCACACAGTATCTTCGACTACTTTGAAATGGGGCATATTGGGACAACCAAATTTAACAATGCTTTTCACTGGAATATCTAATACCCTTCATTCTAATCCTGAACTCTCAATCACTTGGCTAATCCTTAGACACATCATTCATTCACTCGTTCATTCATTCAAATATTTATGAACACCTATAAATACCAGACATTATTCTAGGCACTTCAGAAACATAATGAACTAAGACAAAAAAAATTCCTGCCCTTATGGAGAGTATATTCTAGTAGGTGGAGACAGAGAAATAATTGTGTAAATTACATAGTATGTAAGAAGGCAGGATACAGTGCCAGGAGCCAGCTGTGAGAGAAGTCCTATCCAATAAACCTGAATATTTGTGTATCACTAGAAGTTTTCAGTAAAATGTCACCGGTAGTCTCCAATAAGTCTTTGGCCTGTTTGGTATACATCAGAGTTCCCCATGACTTCACAATACTAATAGGGAATGTTAAGGAGCTTACTCTAAACTACAGTGACCCCCATCAAGGTGGTGCCAGCAGTGAGGCCCCAACAAGTGTCACCACCATCCTCTTTGACATCTGTTTAGCTGAAAGAAAAAAAAAATACACACCTGTATAAAAACTACTAAAGAGGAGCAATTATGCTTATTGGTTTTAAAGTTCCTTCTCTGATGTTAAAGAAATAGGAAGGAAAAGCTATAAGCTTGATTTTGAGCAAGATACTCTTTACCAGATGGAAGTAATAGCATAGACTATAACTGATCAAATTTTAATCAAAACCTTTTGCTAACTGTTAAGGAATCATCAGTCCTCTCCAAATATAAGCATCTCTGATCAGTAGTTTCCAATAACTGGTCCAAGATATCATGTAACTTGTCTTAGAAGAATCTCATTCTTTTTGTGAGAGTTTAGCCTAAGGAGTCACTGCATTTATACACATTCATGCATTAAAATATGTATAAGCTGTATGCCCAGCAGTGCCCTCAAAATCAGGAACTGTTTCACATTTTATCACTAAACTCATGCTTTGAATCATTAAAATAATTTTCTATCACCTTGGAGCCATCCGTGTCAGCTCTCTAAACAGTAAGTTTATCTAATTTAAGCATCTTGCTCTACTGATTAAGAAACTGTGTCCCAAAAAGGTTAAAGGGATAAATTGTGACTTCTCGAGGGTCACAGGCTCATTAGTGACATTTCTGGGAACCTGGAATTCAAGTCTCTTATCCCAACCCAATACTCTCTATTGACCACCACATTGTTCCTTTTGATAACAGTGCTGTCCACTGACACCAAATGAAATTAACTTATTTTTGCTTTCGTCTTTAGACATGAGAAGCAAAATACCAAGACTACAGCTTATCTTCCTGATAAATTTTACTACAGCAAAATTGGGCTTTGAGGGATTTGGGGAGTCATCAAAATAGAGATAGCAGTTGAAGTCATCAGGGATGAAACCCTTCAAGGAGAGAAGGCAGAGGCAGAAGAGAACAGAAGATAATACCCCAGAGTGAAATGAGCATCTACAGTGGTCAGAAAAAAGAGAAAAGTAAACCAAGGAAAGACCGACCAACACACAGAAGGAACATAAGGAGACTATTGTGTCAAGAAAATTTCAAGGAGGGCAACTAGTTAAAATGACAAATGATAAAAAAAATTCCTTAACACTTCAGAATAAAGAGATCAATGGTGACCTTCACCTTGTCAACTTCAGTGACAGCAGTGGATTCCCAGACTTTAACATATTTGGGGGAAAAAAACAAGAAGGTGGAGAAAATGAATACAAATAACTTTTTCAAGAAATTTAAGGGATATAGCTCAGGAGTCCAGTGTGCTTAGCATGCACAAAGTCCTGGGTTCAATACTCAGTACCTCCATTTAAAAAAAAGAAACAAAAGAAACTTAAGGGAAATAACAACAGATAAAACTGAAGAGAAATCTAGAATGAAAACAGTGTATTTAAGATGAATGCATTTAAATCCTGATAAGTTAATACCAGTTGAGAGTAAAAATGGAATAGCCAAGTGTGATGGACTGAACTACAATTCATATGTTGGAACCCTAACCCTCAGTATCTCCAGTCCTGAAGATAAAAATGTTTGAAGATGTGGCTAAGTTAAAATGAGGCCATCAGAGTGTCCCCTCATCCAACACAATTGGTGTTCTAATAAGAAAAAGAAACATCAGAGGTTCTAGTGTACAAAAGTACGACCATGTGAAGAGGTAGAAAGAGGGTGGTCACCTGTAACTTAAGGAGAGAAGCCTCCGAGGAAACCAATTCTGCCCTAATCTTGGTCTTGGACTTCCAGCCTCCTGAATTGCAAGAAGGTAAATTTCTGTTGTTTATCAAGTCATCTAGTCTCTGCTATTTTGTATGGCAGCCCAAGCAAACTAATACACTGACGAAACACTGTCCTTGAGGAGAAGAAAACTTGGAGCATAATGAGAGATGAAAAGATAGAGGCAGACATGTACGCAGGTGAAAGAGGGCAAACAGCAGTGAAGGTCCCACCACATATGGCAACATTATCCAGGAAAGAGTAAGGAAAGAAGGAGGTGGTGGGTTAATAACGACCATGGGACACACAGGATTATTGGGTTGCCTTCCCATTAGTCAATAAACGTTTGTTGTTGAATGAATACAGAACTGTCATCCATGAATGCTGCATGAAGTGGGTTTTGCCATTCCCTAAAACACTCTGAAATTAACTGACAGTCCCCATTTGGTGCAGATAGGAAAAGAAAGGAATTGACATCAGTAACACTAAATTAAGAGAAGGTTAAGATTAAATACAAACACACACGCATAAAAATATAAGGTTAAAATCTATCTAATCAAACATAGCGCTCTCAAGGTACGAACATTTCTGAAAAAACACATGTATATATCTGGAAATATCTTCAGTATACTTTAACTGCCACAGGTTTACAAGGGTTATTTTGCATCCTGGTTTGATCCTGAATGCAAACACACTATGTCACAAAACCTAAAGATTTTTATATTAATTTCCAAGTAATCTTCAACTACCTGTTTAGAACTACCAATCGTATTACCACACTAAATTTATGTTGAGAATTTTCTTCTGCTTTAGGAAGTGTAACTAGGGCAGGCAGCCCAGCTGCCCTGGGGCTATAATACACTGCCACAAACTACTGCTATAATTAAACTGTTCCTACTATTCCCTGTACCCGGGGTTACAGGAGGGAAAAAATTCCACAATCCTATCACAACCAACACGGAGACATTTTCATTCTAATTTCACGGAAATCTTCCTCAGTGATGAAAGATTTAAGAAAAGGTGTCATGAAATGGATGACTTACATCGTAGAGTCACTCTGCCTTTAACCTGAAGCCTCTGTACTGAATAGAGAAGTATGAAATAATGTGACAGTGAAGGAATGAACTCCCTATCGAAACAAAAAAGAAAAACATTATGGCTGTAAACTGCTCTTCCTCACTCCCTTCTGAAGAAGAATCAAATCTCAAGGGCACTACCGAACTAAAAACTGAGCTCTTTAAATGGGGTGGGGAGGAGGGATGTCAATTGCAATCTTGGCACCAGGAGGCAATCTACCAGTCCTACCTATTTAGTCAAGTCACTTTGAAATACTTCCCTCGTTCACCACTATGTCATGAAAAGATTAAAAAAAAATGACAAATGCAACGGGCCTCAAAATAGTTTTGCTGAATCACAAATACCCTCAAATATACAGCTGCAGAAGTCGCTGGGCTTGAGCACTGGCGGCCATACCTTAGCGAGTAGGTCCTCTGAAAAACATGTTAACTTCCTTCATTTGTTCATTAACGGCAAGCACGGGTCTAAAGGTTATTTAAAGCACTCATAATATTGCTATTAGTAGCAATGTCGTGTGTACAATAACAATACACTAAGGATGAGCACGTTCTCTGAAAATTGGCACCACCTATCCCCCAAGGGCATATGCACCACCCCGGCCCGCAATCGGAGCCACAATGAGCACCCTACGTCCTCCTCATCTTGGCACCCAGCCCCTGCCTCCCCGCACCCTGCTTCCTACGTGACCATGCTTCCCGTTCCCGGGCTGACTGGGACAGCCCCGAGCTCCCAGGGGTTCTTAGGGTAATGGAGAGGCAAGCCTGCAGGCCGCCCTCGCCGCGCTACTGCTATCCCTGGCCTCCGGGTAGCCCCACGTTCTTCCCTCGCCTCTCCGGTCTCCGCTGCCCAGCCCACTGCTCCCTTCCTCTCGCGCGCGCACTGTGGCCCTCAGGCCAGGGCCTCACCGTTTGGTTCGGTCCGCAAAGGCCCGGCTCTCCCGCTTCCACGCCCCGACACGAAGTGGCGTCGGTTATCCGGCGCCCCACGCTTCCAGTCCACACGCCGCCGCCTACTGATGCCGAAAGCGGCTTCTAGGAACGCGCCATGTTCAGCGTCGCGGCTCCAAACGACGCGGACGCACGAATACTGCGTCACGGACACCCAGAGCGCGTGGACTCGGCAAAGGAAGAAGGCGATAGGAGAACAACGGAAGAGGCGGGAGGAGCTTTCTCTTCGAAACCAAAGGCGCCGGGTGGCTAAGGCAGCTCTGTACGCTTGCGCAGTATAGAGAGCAGGGAGTCGACGCTACGCGGTCTGTAACCATGGAAACCATAGGTCCGCTCAGCCTCAACTGTGGGAAAATCAACTGTCTCCTGCGTTGATCGAAGCTTAGATCAGAACCATTTTCCCTTTCTTATTCTAGATATCAGCTAACAAACTGCACTGCTTTACGAATCGTCTCGGTAGAGAAGAATTTTTAAATAATCCTATTTTTATCAGTCAACCCTCCCACGAATAACTTATTTTGCTGGGAGGTCTAGTCCAGAATGATAGCAAGGGTGGAAAGATTGAAAAGAAATAAATCCACTTTTCTCTGCCTCTGCTAATAGCTAGCTTAGTGATCTAAGTGTTCTTATCTTTAGGGAAAAAAAGTTGTAAGCAAATAGTTGAGTGTTCATAAGATGAATAAAAATAATAGATAACATTCATTAAGCATTTAGAACCTGCCAGATACTGTTCTAAGGTCTTGACATGAATCATGTATTTTAATCCTCAAAACAACCCTATGAGGTGCTTTTTGTTATGCCCATTTTGCAGATGAAGAAATTAATGCACAGAGTGGTCAAGAAACCTGCCTAAATTCACACAGCTACTAAGCAGCAGTTAGGTTTTGAACCAGACAATCATAAGCCCTGCATTACAAGGATGTTCATCCCACAAGAGCTGTTTTTAAAAGTAAAAACATAAAAATCACCTAAACGACCACCAAGAAAGGAATGACGAAAACATGATACATGCATATATAATAAAATACAAATTGGCCATTAAGAATTATGTTGACATGTTAACACGTTCACAATGACCCAGGAAAAGAGTGGGTTACAAAACAATATGCTCCATGTGGTTCCATTTTTGGAAATAAATATATGTCAGATGTTAACAGGGTTTGTTGGCTGGTATTGTGGGCATGTTTTATTTTCTAATTTATTTTGCTTAATTGTATCTTTTATAATTTTACTGAAAGGTAATACTTCTCAAATTTTAAACATGCAAAGAATCACGTGGCAATCTTGTTAAAATGTAAATGCTGATTCAGTTGGTCTCAGGTGGGACCTGAGATTCTTCATTTCTAATGAGTTTCCAGTTAATGCTGCTCATCCATAGATCACACTTTGTATAATAAGGCATGAGGAATATGCAATAAAGTGAAAAAATTACCTAATTTTAATTAAAATTTTAAAATTGATTTAGAAGGATCTTTTCTATTTGGAATAATGGATTTTTTGGATATCAAAGGAAAGCTGTAACTTAGAAAAACACACATACACAGATTCTGCCTACAATTTTAGGACACCAAATTAAGATGCACTTGGAGGTCCTAGCTTCAGCTACTATGAACGTAAAATCTAGTAATATACTTTTTATAATGCAAATGTGTACATCTGTATAAATAATCTCATATTTATTTTGTTATGTCAGCTGCATTTTGTTGCTATATTCTCATATTCTCAAGTTTTTTTGGAGACAAAGACAAATACTAAATTAATTTAAATTAAATCATCATTAGGTCTGTTCAGAATATTTAAAATATAAACATAAACTCAGTGCTGTCCCCAAAAAACGATTGAAAAGTAAAAAGAGAAAGCAGAAAGTTGAAGAAGCAAATGCTATAATTAAAGAAAAATTAGCTTCCCTCACCCCTGTCTCCAGTAATTTCCAAGAAACAGGTAAATAACATGCAACTCCTTTGTTTCCGTAATTATATTATGATAACTAATTTCTTCTATGTATCTCCTATGTGCCAGCTACCTTTCTAAGTGTTTTTAAGTGCCAGGCATTGAGCAGTAAACATTTCCTATAATTTAATTTATTAACCCTCATCACCACCCTATATGGGGTGTATTCTTTCCCTCATTTTACTGATTAGAAGATGATGCTCATATGAATTAAATAATTTCAGATTCTTAAATAGAGGAGCAGATTCAAGTTTAAACATATGGTTTGTAATAGGTAGAATAAAAGATAAACACATCCCAATCCCCAAAACCTGTGAATATATTACCTGTCATGACAGAAGGAACTTTGATTATACAATTAAATTAAGGATCTTGAGACAGGAAGATTATTTTGTGGGCCCAATGTATTCACAAGGGTCTTCATAAGAGGGAGACAGGAATGTCTAAGAGAGAGAAGATGTGACCAAGGAAGTAAGGTCAGAGTGACATGGGACCATAAGTCAAGGAGTGCAGGCAGCCTAGGGAAACTGGAAAAGTTAAGGGAATGAATTCTTTCCTACGGTCTCTGGAAGAAACTCAGTCCTGCAGATGATTTTAGACTTCTGACATTCAGAACTCCAAGTTAATAAATTTGTGTTGTTTTAAGCTATTGACTGTGGTAATTTTTTACAGCAGCAATATAAAACTAATAGGTGCTCCAAAGTCATAGGCTTTCCAACTTGCTACACTGCATTTGATACTGCAACTTGTGTAAAAATGGGTCTTGGGCATTAGCTGCTTATAAATTAACTCATTAGAAGCTTACCAGGTTAAAAAAAAATAAGTCTTTGAGAAATGAGTTCATCTGCTCATCTAATACAACTTTGTAGCAGATTGTTTTGTTTATGATTTTTTTATTGAGTTACATTTTTTTTTAAAGTGGAGGTACTGAGGATAGAACCCAGGATCTCATGCATTCTGAGCATGCACTCTTACCACTGAGCTATACCCACCCTATTTACGATTTTCTTTAAATTGAAATAATATAAATGTCTTCCCTAAGAACTGATTACATAAATTATGGTCTGTTCATACTATGGAATATTCTTCACCTGTTCAAAATGGTGATGTAGATTTATATTCATTAACCTTAAAAGATGTCTACCATATTTAACTAGGTAGGAGCAGGGAGTTAGAAGAGTTTTATACATCCAAAAAGTCTTGGAAAATATCAATATGTTAACGGAAGTGAACTCTGGGTGGTAGGTTTCCCTTTCTAAAATCTTGGTATTATCTAAAATTATTTGCCATGTTTAAGTATTAAGTAATCAAAGAAATAATAAATAACATTATTTATAGTTTTGAAAAAGTACTGTAAGAATACCATGTACCTATGTATTTCTTAGGTTGAAACAACCTTTTTTCATATTCTACTGGTAAGAATGAAAACTGATTTAAGTGTTTTAGAATATAACATATTAATGTATATTCAGAGACTAAAATGTTCATACAGTTTGCCTAACTCCAGTTGTAGAAATCTATACTAGGGAAATAATACAAATTATAGAAAATATTTTTCATGCGTGCAGTAAAATGGGCATGGCTCTATTTTTTACAATGACGGCATAGGAATGATTTAGTAAACTCTTATACGTTCACAAGATGAAATCTTCCGTAGCAGCTTTCAGTATTGATTATCAAGATTGCATAATAACAGGAAAAGTGCTTTTTATGTTACTGTATTTTATGGAAAAAACAGCAAATTGTGTGATCTCAACTATGTAAAAATATGTGTTGCTAAAACAATAGGAGAAAAGTGTGTGTCAAAATGTTTACAGAGGTTATGCCAACATATTGCAATTATACGTAAATTTTTCATCTTCTCTTTACTGTCTGTATTTTTCAGAATTTTTGCAAGCTAAGTTTTTGGTTTTGTTATGTCGTTTATAATTTAGTTGTTCTATCTTTGGGGCCCAGGAAATGCATAGAAGAGGAAAATAAAATTAGTTTTACTTAGTACATCTCTGTCATTAATTGTTGCTTTGTACACAGTTTATTCTTAAATTTATGGTAAACAAAGATCTAATTTTTTGAACTCCATACTTTAGAATTCACTTGAACCATATATTAATTTATTAAAAAGTGAAATTGCTTAACATTGTATTTAGAAGGGCTCAGCAGTCTCTTTTGCTTTCCTGCCATTCCATCAGTGATGAGAGTAGTCATTCCTCAGTATCCGCGGGAGATTTATTCCAGGATCCCTCCTGGATACCAAAATCCCCGAACACCCAAATCCCTTACAGAAGATGGCACAATCTGCACTGGGCCCTTGGACTACACCGATGCATAATCCGCAGATATCCAGAGCCAAAGGTAACTGACTGTGATGCCAACGTTCTGTTGTTAAGTAGAGACCAGCAGAGACCACAAGAAATAGGCTGGTGTCCTGCTGTGGCAAGGGCACAGGCTTCCACCCCTACCTCTGCTACCACCTACTTGAAGGACTCTGAGCAATACCTTTAATGTCAATGAGACTAAGTTTCTTAGACTAAGGAAAATAGGGTAATCAAGCTTGCCCTAACAACTTCCCAGAGTTTTCCGAAAAATCTAATTGTGTGGAAAGTACTTTGAAACCTATAAAATGCAATATGAAAATATAAGTACAAATATAAAAATATAATACAAAGTAGGCTCTGTGATAATTCACAAATAGAAATCTCAGTGCAATAATTTTTTGTTGTATTTGGAAAACTTCAAACTGCTTCATTTTGTGACATGATCTATATTACTTTATGGCAATGATGAAAACATTCATCTGACAGGTGCTTTTGGAAGGTATCGATTATTAGGTATTAGATTTTCACTGACAATTATTAGATAGTCACTGGCAATGCTTAAACTCAGCATGCTGGTATTAAACAGAGATCATAATCTTTTAAAATTAATTTGATTAATTTAAGATAGCATTTTAATGATCAGAAAAAAATGAGAACATTTTTTATGGAAGAATCTTATTCATAGTATTCAAGGTATATTACTTCTTTCAGCCAAATTTCGTCACATTTTTCTGTTAAGATTAAGACAGCATAGTAGAAATCAAGTCTCTAGGTACTCTGAATTGTCCTGCTTTGTAAAGGAGCACTTCATTTTAGTATTTAGATTTGAATATCGTCACAACAGTAATAATAATAGCTCATTGTTC